CTCTCTCTAGGACCCACATACACACACACTCTTACACAAAGCCTCTAATACTGCACGCAAACCAGGACATCAAAACAAGTCCTTCTCTCTGATTCACTCCCTAAGAGAATCTGTAGTGATCAGCTGTGTGCTACAGATGCAGCAGGTAGAGATTAGGTTGAAAAATGTGGGAGTATTCCTTTAAATGGAAAAGGGCTCTTATGGAAAGCATGTGTTATGTTCCATTAGAAGCCAATTTCACCAGTGGAGAAGCAGCAGGTTAACTGAAGTGTGCCATGCTGCTTATCTCCCAGGTACAGGCATGCACAGGCTCTCTCCAATCTTGCAGCAAGATCAGGAGCTCATATTTACACATTATAGCATCACTGATGTGGCAACAGGTAAGCGGGACCGCAGTGCAGGGAGATTTCTTTCTTCCATATATTGCAGAAAAGTTTGAAAATTAAATGCATTCCCTTGCCAACAAGCCTTTCAGATACTCTCTCATGATGCATGATGTGCACATGCTTGGATGCTCCTGTATGTAGAATCTTAATGTCTCTCAAACAGCCAGGGGTTTTTTTCGCTGCTTTCCGCTCACTAGCCACCATCAGGCCTGTAAGGAATAAGAGCTCTCTGACTGTAATTGTAGTGTTGAACGGTCTTGAAGAGCAGAGGGCAGGAATCCATTCATGAATTTGCTCCTGAGGAATGAGGGAATACCCCTGAATGAGTAGACAAAGCGGAAAGTTGCCGGTTCCCACTGGGAGACAGCAGAACAATGCATGTGCATCAGTTCCCCCAAGACCCCACGCTCTTAAAAATAAAGGAGCCAAGAAGCGTTCCTTGGAGCATTGCCACAGAACAGGGCTGCCCAAACTGGGGCCGCAAACGTTCGATGTGGCACATGAGAAGGTTCCTCTACCTACCCCACTCCCTCATCCAACAAGAGAACAGACATATTTTCCTCTTAAAATGTTATTTTTAAAATATTTTAGTAACAAACTATTGTAATAATATGAAACGCATTTTTGAAAACTTGATTGAAACTTGACTAAAATCTACTTTTTAAATATGTTTTGGCTTTTTGGTCCACCACAAACATTGCACTTTGGCCCACCGAACACAAGAACTTTGGGCACCCCTGCTATATAAGAAATACTTTTGGTTTCTTAAAGAACCTTTCAATTGATTCTTTAAAGACCCATCTTTGCCTTGACTAAATGGTGTACAATGATTACATATAAAACCAAGGCAACTCAAATAACTATTTGAATGCTTAAATGGTTCTTTGCATGGTTTAAAGTAACTGCTTTAACTTGAAGAACCTCCACACAATGAGAATGTTCTATACTAATTAAAGGTTTCTCCTAGAAGAGTATATCCATGATAAGAGCATTTATAAACCCTTATTATTAAAAGCTGTGATGTTTTCCTCTTACCCTCCTGCAGAATTGAGACATATTCCTGCTGTTCTTATCTGGACTTTGTACCAGGGAGTGCCTGGTTCCCCTCTGGGATTTGGAATGCGTTGTGTGGGTGAATATTGTGGGGACTAACTGCAAATACATGTTCTGAGCATGGAGTCCACATAGTCTAGCTGGTCCACCAACCTGCTCATATTTCACCTGCTCAAGCACACCTACACTGGCTGAGTTCATCATTTTCCATAACGTTTTCACACGACAGAGTCAGTTTAGCATGACGAAATCCTCAAATTTAGCTTCTTTAAGAAACCAGAGCATCTGGTTTCTCAAGGCATGTTTACTAATAACAGAGTAACCTTCTTCTAACCTTTTAGAAGGGATTCCTTTTTTAAGGTTTGACACTTCATGTATAGACTCCTCTCTCTCATTCACTGCCCTGGTCAAGCTATTCCCCTTTACTCATGGACAGAGGTAGCATGTTTCCTCCAGTCCCCACCAGTCAACTGGAAGTTTATATGATTGAGCAGCTTGGCCCTAATGCTTTCTGAGTCATTTCACACACACTGTCTCCTCTCTCTACTTCAGTTCTCATTATGTGTGGGGGTCTGACTGTTTACTGCTATTTGCAGTGACCAAGTATCCCCAGATTGATAGGAAAACATGACAGAGGCACTCTGTCTAAAATAAGAAACATAACCATTACTACACCTGTTGTAAACATGTCTACTCACCTCCTACAGTGGTGTTAAACTAGTCTCTCGAGCAGTGGTCACCAACCCTGCCCCTGGTGATCTACCTTCCTGCAAAGCTCAGCTCCAACCCTAATAGATGAATCTAATTCTAATAGATCAATTTAATTCACCTGATGAATCTAATTCTTGCCTTCAGATGCCTCCTTGGTTAGCTGGAGGGGGTGTTAGACACAGATTGGAGGTGAAACCTCCAGGAAGGTAGATCTCCAGAAGGAGGCTTGGTGACCACTGCTCTAGAGTGAGATTTCCGATTTAAAGACTAGTAAAACTCCCTTCTGATGATGTATCTTGAAGGAATGTAGGAGGACCTTTAAAAAAACTACAAGGTCTTTGGCCTGATACTCGAGGCCTATTTGAAATGCTTTTGTCACCACAAGCTGGCTAATGCAAAAGGAAGCCAGATAACTAGTATTACCGGTAGGAAACCAAACATTACATCTGTATTTATTAGGCTCTACATCAGTGTCTAAACTGGCAGTCAGGATTTCTTTATTGCTGTGTGGGATTCCCAGTGGTTGTATGATGTATTTGCATAATGCATGCTGGGTATTGTAGTGAGAGAACACTGATGAATGAAAACACAAAAGGGAAATGATGTGAATGCTGTCAAACCAGTGAGGTAGAGGGGTGCACTGCTGTGCTATAGTATATTATGTAACATGACAAATAACATATTAAATTAAATGTAATAAATGCAATAAATAGTTTTAGGCTGGAATGCCTCTTGAACATTTTGATATTGTGGGGTCTTTTGCTGGTGCTGGTTTGTCAAATGAATTCCTTTTTGCAAATAAGGTTAGCCCCTGGATCCAACGATTATTATTAAGTTATTATTCTTGAGACATTTGTTATTCAGAAACCACTATGAAAATGACATGTAATGCATGTAGTCATGAGAGTGAGCAACAGCAGGCTGTACACAGGCTCTTAGGATTTAAGGGGTTAAAGTTCAGGTCTAAGTGCATAAAAATCACTATTTAGCAACAGTAATAGGGAAGTCAAAGGAAAGAACTAAAAATGTGTCTGTGTATAAAAAAGTGTACAAAATCACTTAAAAATCCACACCCAAATTTCACACCACCAACTGTGCCCCCTTTTCAGCTCTGGCCTTACACTGGACCTTCATCCCTAGCAGCTCTAACAGTCTATATGCAGAGGTGGTCTTTGCACTAGGCTAGGGTAGGCAACCGCTTAGGGCCCCCATGAGCCAAGGCCCCAATGAAAATACAGTTTAGATATACTGTACCTGTTGATGTTAAATAAATGAACATTTAAATAAATACTATTGAAAATAGATGCCATTTGCGATTGTAGTTATTATTTTTGGTCATTTCAATGCAGCCCCACCCCCTAGTCATGGTTATGATGGACTATTCCATGCTGTTACGTGACGCAACTGAGTGAAGACAGACTGGTATGAACAAGGCAACTAAGCGATAAGCTACATTATGTAGAGGAGGTGCTTCAGTGTGATTTTCTGGGTGTTAAGTATAGCAGAATTATGCAAAAAGAGGCTTCCAAAGCTAATTTTGCTTTTTTTCATTCAGAACAGAGGCAGCACAGGCTCAGCAGACCGTACATAAGGCTAGCATAAATGTTAGTATAGAGAGCTACAGTGCTGGAGTAATTCCTCAAAAAAGTAATTCAGTGATGTTCCTATACTTCTCTTAAAATGTAATCCTGGAAAAAGTCACCTCATTTCGCATTACTTTACTTTGTTACACTGTACCAAATTGTCTCACTACTAGGGCAGAAAATGTTGCCCGTTTCAAACGTCATTTTCTAAAACAAGCAAAATGATCTGACAACACAGTGAAATAATTTCACTTAATAAAATGACTTTACTAAAACATTCTAGAAATAAGTTAAATAATTGTATAATACTCTTTCAACAATCTCAAAAAGAGATTTATTAGACATATCGACTTGATTTAAACCGCGACCCTATCTGGATTGAGCGGTTAACATAATGACGATGATGATGGCTTATTTTAAGATGACTTCACTTGCCATGGTATAATTTTTTGTCCAAAAACTCAACTAATTTAAACCTGTGCATTCAGGAGGCCTCAGTCCTATCTTCTGTCTAGAGCCCCAGAACACTAAATCCACCCCTGACTGTATGGACTGCAGTCCTGCCAGTCACCTACACCCAACAGGTTAGAGGCAAAAGCAGGGCGGCGCGTGAGCATATCAGCCAAACCTTGCATGCTCTGAGGATGCACCACCACCACACCACCACCACCCCAGAGACTGCCATAAGGTTTAAAAACGCCAGAGAAGGGCATGCATCAGTGCAGGAGTGCCCAGGCTCCACACCATTGTTTCTGCGGCGCTCGCCATTCGTCGCTCGCTCGGCTTCAGACCCACCAATCACGGCGCGCCCAGCGAAAATAAGCAAAGCGGCGCCTGACTACCGCTGCAAAAAAAACACAAGGCAGCTAGAGAATGGGACCTGAATGAATCAGCTCTATCGCTGCAGGGCTGAATGATAACACTTATAACACTACAGACCAGGAGCCCAAGCAAAAAACGTCTCTACCTTGGCTTTGACACCACAGGGTCCTTGGGGGGATCGTGTAATCACAAAGGGCAATGCAGATCCATTCAGCTGCTGCACACGTGTCGTTGGGTTTTAGACGAAGCCAGTGACTGAGCTCTCTATCGGTGACACACTACGCTGTACTGAGGATGCACCAGCATGTGGGGAACAAACGCCTCTGGTAGGAGCAACTGGAGCAATTCTGTTATTCAGAACCGTGTTAGTGCAGGTGGCACTGAGGCTGAGGGAAAGCGACATCCTCGCACGCGCGCGCGCACACACACACGCAGATGTACTCACTCAGGTTAGAGCGGAAGGGGGTGTCCGCCCTGCTGGCCTCTCTCTGCGGCTGAAAATCGCTCTGGCTCCCCGTGGCCCTCCGTCACCATCACTCAGTTCTCCGCGGCGGGCTCGGGATCGTGCGTGGCGGGGAACGCGCGCGCGGCGTGCCGTTTGACATCATGGGCTCGGAGCGTTCCCATTGTTCGGCTTCCCGGGCAGAGCGAAGACTGTGGAACGGGCTGCTCGCGCTGCTCCACGTTATTGTAGAATCGCGCAGAATCGTGTCAGCCGTTCCTCCGCTGACTGAAGCTCGGGATCCTCCTGCTGCTCCTCCTCCTCCTCCTGCCCGGTGTCTCGCTCTTGCTGGGGCGACGTTACCATGTGACAGAGCTCTAATGGCATCTGCGTGGCGCGCCCTCTAGTGGCGCTCAGAGGGACCGCAGGTATTAGACATAAACAGAACGTAGACATGAGAGCACACGGAGAGAATAGGAATCAGACTTAGTTGTGTGTACGTGATACGCAGCTGCACGCCGTATAACCACTAGGAAATCACTAGGAAACCACCAGGATATTTCATGTGCACACTTGAAGGGGAATTCCAACGATTTATCAACAATTCTGCATAATTCAAGGGTTGAGATATAAACAAAGTCATTTGGATAGGTTTGATGTGAAATGATTCATTTGTAGAGTAACTTACAGACATATATTTCTTTACAGTGGTGGTGATAGGAACCAGGGGTCCCGATGTCTGCGATGCAAGTACAGCCAGTTTATTTACTACCCAGAACCTCCAGTGAACCTACATGTCTTCTGAGTTTTTTTATGTGAAGCTGATGATGGCAAAATAGTGGTCAATTTGGAAAAGGAGGTTTTCTTTGGGGCCTATTTTGCCTTACAACATAAACTGAGTAAAATACGTTTTAGATCAAAAACTTTATTACAAAACTACTGTGAAACAAGGCTGTGTACTCATCACCATTTCATGTAATAATTTTCTGTAAAGGAGTTTTTAGAGGCAATTAAACATGTCAGATGTCTGGTTCCTATCACCACCACTGTTAACAAAACTTGGTAAGTTTCACTAAAATGAAGCATTTTACACCAAACCACTCTGATGTTGTTGAGATTTTAACCATTTAATTGTGCAGAAATTTTGAAAAATCGATGGAGTTCCCCTTTAAAGTGCACAATGATACGTTCGAGATTCATGTAACCTACTTGGCTTTACTATTATTGTAGCGTAGTCATACGTTGACACAAGAAAGAAATTAAAGAGTTAACATTCAATTCTGGAAAGCCCCTGACAAAATTGTTCCCCACTCTTTATCAACCTGACTGTCAGATTAAAAAGAAAAACTTAAAGGGCCCATATCGTACATTCTTCTTAGGTCTGCTGTTTCTTAGGTCCATGATTTTCTCTCAGGTCAACTGATGACATTTATATACCAAAACTGTTATTCATCCATTTTCAACCTCTTCTTATATATTAAAAGGCACATATAACGGAAAACCCACATTTTTTTGAGATAAATGAGTTTGACGTAGTATGTAAACACTTAAAGTTTCACAATGTGCCCGTCACTTCAGTCTATATATGTAAAATGTAAGCTGCAAAACCAGCCTGTGTTGAATTCACTATATCTGTGATGTCACAAAAATGGACCCATTTACATATATCCATCTTTTGAGCCTACAGAGGTTTAGCCCTGCATATTCACACTGATGTTACAGGAAGTATTTCAGCTTTTTGAAAGAAGTGCAATACAGGGCAGCTAATCAGAATAGAGGTCATTTACATATTCCAGTCTTAAAGACACAGTAACATGAATAGAAAGGTTGGAAAACAGTCATGTAAAAATGAATGATGATTTTTGGTACATCACACATAGGATTTGGGCACTTTAAGACTGATTTATGTAAATGACCCCAGTGCCCTGTATGTTGCCTCATTCCAAAAGCTGGTTTGAAACACTCTAAGGAGCTTCAACATGAATGAGTGGGGCTTAACTGTTGTAGCCTGAATATGTACGCAAATGCACTGGTTTTCATGACATCACAAAAACAATTAATTTGAAAATGGCTGTTTTTGCAGCTCAGATTCCACATATTTCAGATTCAAGAAACTTTCATTTTTTCATGACATGGGCCCCTTAAGATATTCCATTAACAGCAAATATATGCTAGAAATGCCTCTGTCTGTAAAGAAGGAGAAGGGACGATACCTAAAATGCCTCTTTTGCCTGGGAACAATGTCTGATAATAGTGTTGATTCCCTTTTGCTGACTCATTTTCAATAGTCATAACATTTAGATGGTGCATGTATTTCTGTAGAGATGTGCCAAACTACTTGTCTTCCTTATAGTCCAGCTACATAGAAGCCAAAACGACCCCACCCACATCTCTGCCACCACTTAGTGAAAGCTATCAACAGTGAAAAGCAGTCAATATCTTTGGCATTACTTGTTGTGTTAGAGTGCACCGCATGCTGTGTTTATGACTGGTTCAGTGTGACGGCTGGCTGCTTTGCTGACTCACTGCTGCTCATATGCATTAGGGCTGAACGCTGCCTTGTTGTCTGCAGGTAGGGGTCTGTGCTGGACATGCTATTACACACGGGGGGGAAGGTAAGTCAGTGAGAAATAAGTTGGCGGTCATGTACCAAAACAGCAAGGTGAAGAACCTTAGGGGTTTAAAACTGGAAGCTCAGCACAAACAAGAGTCTGCCTTGATGTCCATCTGGAGACGTGTGTTTCTGCACACATTGAACACAAAACGGCTAGTATGTACTCACACAACCGAGAAGTGTGCAAAACAGTCATCATGCCTTTGCGAACAGACTGTAGTGTGTGCATGTGTTAAGAAATATTCAGGGATCACTGTAATGTGGATATTGATATCACTGGACCTCATATAATCACTAGTGTTTAATTAACTACTTCAACCCCTTAAGTGGCCAGGGACCACCGGTGGGCCCAAAGCTTTATTGCACTTCTATCTATAATCTAAGAATAGCTCAGCCAGTTTGCACTGAAGTCTCTGTAATTACAAAATAATAAGCCTTAGTATGTAATAACATTAAGTGGTTAAAGGGAAATTCCACCAATTACAATACGTCGCTACAATAATACAATCATTAAGAGGTAAACAAGTCATTCAGGATGGTTGAATGTAAAATGGTGGATTGTGGAGAAATTTTTGTGGAGGTTTCTTCACAGTGGTAGTGACAGTAATCGTGGGTTGCAATTTGGACAAAGAAAATATAATAAATTTTTTTACTATACAAAATGACCAGTGATCATTATATATCTCTGCTGAGTTTGTAAATTTGATGTTAATAAAGGTGAAATAGTGATAAATCAGAAAAAAGGTTTTGTTATAAGTTTACACAATGTCTGCAGCAAGCTCTTTAAAATATATATATATATTTTCCTGAAAATATTAATGCACAGTTACTTTATTTTTGATTAATTAAAAAAATTGAAAAAAAGCAATCATGGCATGTGCAAAAGTTTGCACACTGTACTAGGTCAGTCCTTAGTAACACCCCCTTTGGCAGATATCACAGCTTAGAAACAATATTTGTTCCCAGCTAGGTGTCTTTGTCTTCTTGTTTTACAGATTTCATTTGCTTTTTCTAAAATGCCTCTGGCTTAACTAGATGTTGTTTTGCATATGTCAGCTGTTGACCTTTGCAATGAGAATGCAGGTAAACTTTCCTTCTGATGATTCTTCCATGCAGATCATGTTTCTGCAAGTAACACTGCACAACAGAACAGTGCACACATGACTCCTTTGTCAGCTAATTCTTCCTTCAGGTTCTTTGCTGTCATGTGGGGGTTTTGCTTTGCCTTTCTGATCAGACTGTAAGCAATTCTATCTGCGAGTTTTCTTGGTCTTTCAGATCTTGCCTTGTCATCCTCAGTTCTGTTGAACTGCCTTTTCTGAATTACATTCAGATTTTTATAACTTAATTTTCAGATCCTCAGCCAGCTGGTTAGAGTTTAGCCCATGGTTATTGGGTGTTAGAACAACGTTTGAGGAGTCAGAGAATTTATTACGCTCTGTAATTATAATAATCTCTAATCAGCTCACAGGTCCTAATGACAACTCTTAATTAGCCTCACCAGTCCTAACGAGGCAAGGCCTATCAAGTTAATTAAGTTCTGAGATTTCACAATTGGAAGAGTGTCCAAATGTTTTGGAAAAGTATCCTAATTTATACACATATTTTAAGCCAATCAAATTTAAAGTAAGTCTCACATTTTCTTTCACTTTCTTGTGCAGCACAACACCCTGTATGTACTACTCTGCCATGAATGTATTTAAAAATATTATGTTTGAGATTAAAAACTTTATTGCAAGTCTAAAGTAAAACAAAGTCTCAGGCATTAGGCAGTGTATTCATAATTATTTCATGTAGCAGATTTCTGTGAGGTAGCTTTTAGTGGCATTACACTGCAAACATTTTAAACTTTATGCTATCACAACCTTAAATAGTTTTTCATCAATACTGTTCAGATAATATTATAATTGTGTGTAATTTGTGTTATTTACATACTATTGGAGATTCTGTTAACTCAAAATTTAAAGTGGACCAGGTTATTTCACTTTTTATTCTAAAACAGTTTTTTTCAGTTACCTTTATTCTATATCAATATCTATATCTATTTTTAATATTTATTCTATATCAATATCTATTTTTTTTCATTCTTTTCTTCTTCTCTGCTGTTTCTCACCCCTCTCACTTAGAAGGTTTAATATTTTGTTTTAGATTAAAAGCACAGAAAGAGAACAACAGAACCATATCCAACTTTCCGATGACAAATGCAGGTGGTACTGTAAGAGTCTAGGAACTTGCATTAATATTCTAATTAAAGATGGCACAATATCACTTTTTCTTTTCAGAAAATCTAAATATTGAAAACTCATACCAATCTGTTATTTCTTCTTTAATACAGTTTAAAATGAGCTATTTTTAATGGGAGCACTTCACTTAAGAGTAGCATCTAAAATTTAGCTATCATACCCAAATTATTCAAACACTCTACTAACCCACAGGAAGAACTACACACACAACATCACATCAGACCGCATGGGAAAGTGCTATTTCAGGTTATATTTCATACAGAATTGGACAGAATTTGTTTTGTTTTTCCCTCTGATATCTGATAGATGGAAATATCCAAGAGAGCTCAGCAGACACTACTCTGTTTCTGTTGTATGATTAAACCTAATGAGACATATTATGTAGTAACTATTATGAATTATTCTGTACCTACAATGAACCTAATAGGTATGTTTTGTAGTAATAGTTATGAGGAACTGAAGTGTGGGCCTACATACAGGCCCTTAACGTTTAAAGGGTCACATATATTAGTTTAGATTTCTATTATTTAGCTCCTTTGTCTTGGCATATGAATAAAAGGTAATAATAAAATGCAGTGATTCATTTTTTAATGTAATTATTTGGAATGCCCATATCAGGGAAAACTGGAATTTTAAGAACAAAACAGTTAAATATAGCATGTTGTTTTTGTTTCAAAATGCACCGTTGACTCCCTAGTCTATGTATAGAAAGTATATATAGAAAGACTTTGTTTTTGTGATGCCACACATATACAAATATTCATCCATTCACCTTACAACCGTTTAGCTAGACCATTAACACTGAAGGAGTGCTTAAAGCACATAACATGACAGCCAATCAGAACAGAGTTCATTTCCGTGTGTGTGTGTATGTGTGTGTGTGTGTGTGTGTGTGTGTGTGCGCACATTCTTTTTGACAAAGCTGCAGTGAAATATGCTAACAGCGCTTTTTACACAATTCTTCGATTCAGGCTGTGATCAATAGTGACCATGAATAGCTCAGAGATAAAGTGCATCATACTGAAAGCTAAAATGTTGCCTAGTTCAATTCCACAGCAGGAGAAAACATAAATCATCTTTAGTGGGCTGCAAAGCTGCCAATATCTCTGCCCTCCTCAGTGTAGCCATTAAATCTTTTAGAGAGGTGCACAACCCAGGCTAGAATACAATAAATAAATAGATCAAAATGTCCATTTCTTACCTTTAATAAGAGCTAATTACTGCATAGTACTCATAGTAAGACATACTGCCTGCTACTATTCTGTAGATGTGGTTCTGTAGTATTTTACTGTTCTTTGTTACTAATTGCGTAATTCAGCTCTCCTGCGCCAGGAGATCTAGTCAGTTTAATTCCGTCTATGTTTTAAAATAACATCAATGAAAAATTGTTGAAATAGCCTTAAATGGGGCTTCATAGATGTTTGCTGTCAGAAAGGCTGTGTTAACTCAATGGTCAGTAGAAGCCATTAAAGGCTGTGGCTCAGGGCCCTGGCCACCAGGGGGCCCCACAAGTATGATTGCAAATTGTATGATAGTAAAAGGAAAACATGCTTAATTAAGCTTGAAAAATATGATGGACATTTGTAGTTTCACAGGAGAGTTTTTTTTTTTTTACATAGCATCTAACATCACATATATGATTTCCATACAATCACATATGTGGTTAGTTACGGTCAACTTTAGCTGATTTTTATTTTATCTAGCCTAACATGTGCCAGTAAGGGTTGCTAGTGGAGAGAGGTCATATATTGATGTGACGGTTAATTTAGGTTGTTTTGTCCTTATAAATGTCACTATTAAAAGCTTTTAGAAATATACAAATATACATGTTGGTGCATTCATTTAGGAGCCCCCAGATTAGGGCCATAGAATGTCTTAGTATGTCCCTGAAATGTGAAATTAAATAACGTTTGAAAAATTACCAAACATTGAATAATTGCATTACAAATCAAAATAATATTATTCTGTGGGAAAGCCTATGGGCAGCCTTGGTGTAAATAATCATTCAACCCTGCTAGGCAAAACTGAATCAGCTGATCAGGTTGCATTGTTGCAACCAATCCAGTAACATGAAGGAAATTCAAATAGCCAATCAGATACCAGGATGAAAAATTAAATTAGCAAATTACATTGCAAGAGGGAAAATTCAACTAGCCAATTTAATCACATCAGAGAGCAAAAGGGGAGATAAGACTGCAGTATTGAGAAATGAAAATTAACTAGCACAAGAGGGAAAATTTAAATAAAATAATAGAGAAATAATATAGAATATATTATAATACGAATACCTTTATTGTCATTGTGTGGGTACAATGAGATTGAGTGTGCACTTCGCTACAAGCTACCTCAATCAAAAAGAGAAATAAAAATTAAAAATAAAAAAATAGAATAAGATTACATAAAAAAAAAAATAGAGATAGACAGCTTATTTACAGAGGAACAAAATATTCAAGGTGCAATGCAACCTTTCTGTATGTGGACACGCCTGTGGTGTGAGTATGTGCAAGTTCTGGAGTGGGGGGTTGTAGAATAGTTCAGGACAGAGCACCATGGTTGAAATATTGCAGTACAAAAGTGACAGTATTCATGACTGGCATGCTGTAGTATAAAGTGACGTGCAGTCGGTAAACAGTGACCGTATAGTAGTAGTCAGTGGCAGACGCCATCAGTTAGGTAGTGTAGCAGCTTCACATTCTACCTAATGCTATGTAAAGTGAACAACGTGCAAAATAATGTGTCCCTGCCTTTCCTGAAGTTAAGAACTAGGCTGTTCTTAACCACTTGGCCAGGCACTGTACCTCCTCTCTGTAGGCAGACTCGTCATTGCCCGAGATCAGCCCTATCACTGGGGTGCCGTCTGCATGCTTAATGATGGTATTTGTGTTGTGGACAGGAATGCAGTCATAGGTAAAGAGAGAGTACAGAAGTGGGCTGAGTACACAGTCCTGAGGAACACCAGTGTTCAGTTTCAGTGAAGAGGACTGGTGTGCCCCCAGCCTGACTGACTTAGGGTGATTGGTCAGAAAGTCCAGTATCCAAGTGCAGAGGTTTTCACTGGGGCGGGATAAGGTGGTGTAAAGGGCTATAGAGATTGCATCCTCTGTGGATCGCCTGGCACTGATGCGTACTGGTGAGGATCAAGAGCAGCTGGGATGATGTTTTTAATGTGTGTCTGGATCATTCTCTCAATGTACTTCACGGCTTGAGGAGTGAGTGTGACCGGATGGAAGTCATTGAGGCCTTTGGTAACTGTTTTCTTTGGTACAGGAACAATATATAACTTATACAAATACACAACAAAAAGTTGAAAGATCTTGAAATATTTAAAACAAAGAAAATATTTCTTTATTGAACTGAAGAAGAAATATTCAAAATTCTCCATCATTTCTAGGTCACTATTCAAACGGAAGCAAATGTGTGAAATTGATCAGGTGAAGTTATTTGTACAAGAAGGTCATTCCTTCCCTTGAAGTTTGTGTTCAGGCATCTCCCTTTCTCTCTCTCTCTCTCTCTCTCTCTCTCTCTCTCTCTTTCTCTCTGTGTATATATATACACCGATTAGGCATAACATTATGACCACCTCCTTGTTTCTACACTCATTGTCCATTTTATCAGCTCCACTTACTATATAGGTGCACTTCGTAGTTGTACAATTACAGACTGTAGTTCATCTGTTTCTCTGCATACTTTGTTAGCCCCCTTTTACCCTGTTCTTCAGTGGTCAGGACCCCCATGGACCCTTACAGAGCAGGTACTATTTGGGTGGTGGATCATTCTCAGCACTGCAGTAACACTGATGCGGTGATGGTGTGTTAGTGTGTGTTATGCTGGTATGAGTGGATCAGACAGCAGTGCTGCTGGAATTTTTAAACACTGTGTCCACTCACTGTCCACTCTATAAGACACTCCTACTTTGTTGGTTCACCTTGTATATGTAAAGTCAGAGACGATAGCTCATCTGCTGCTGCACAGTGTGTTGGTCCTCCTCTAGACTTTCATCAGTGGTCACAGAGCGCTGCCTACAGGATGCTGTTGGTTGGATATTTTTGGTTGGTGGACTATTCTCAGTCCAGCTGTGACACTGAGGTGTTTAAAAAGTCCAGCAGCACTGCTGTGTCTGATCCACTCAGACCAGCGCAACACACACTAACACACCACCACCACGTCAGTGTTACTGCAGTGCTGAGAATGATCCACCACCCAAATAGTACCTGCTCTGTACAGGGTAAAAGGGGGCTTACAAAGTATGCAGAGAAACAGATGGACTACAGTCTGTAATTGTAGAACTACAAAGTGCACCTCTATAGTAAGTGGAACTGATAAAATGAACAATGAGTGTAGAAACAAGGATGTTAATGTTATGCCTGGTCGGTATATATATATATATATATATATATATATATATATATATATGTGTGTGTGTGTGTGTGTGTGTGTGTGTGTATATATATATATATATATATATATATATATATATATATATATATATATGTCATGCTAGGATATATAGTGTCACTCAGTCAGAAATACATTTTTCGTCATAAGTGAGTGTGTACATAAGATCATTTTCTTACATTTTTAGATGTATTTAATAAATGCACCATACAGTATTTTCTGAATGGGAGTGTATGTGTCTTGGCTGAAGAAACATATGTTAGTGTTTGCATGTACCACGTGTAATTTTTTAAAGCAGCCACTACCTCAGCCTGTACTGCCTTTGGGGTGAGGGGTCCTAATTAGGGGGCTGAGGCTCCTCAAACCTGTAATTCGCATCCTGAGTGACGCTTCATCCACTAACAAGGCCTTGGCCCCGCCCAGCGTGTAGCGCCGCACCTCCCCACCCAACCAAGCTCCGCCCACTGTTTTCAGAGCGTTCAGAGTGTTTTGATTGTGTTCTCGGTGCTAACAGACACAACTGCAACTCTGGTTGTGCTTGGAAGTGAATGTGAGACTCGCTGAGAATGAATCTAGCGGATTAATGTTCTTTCGGATTTATACCTGAACCTGAGCCCTGGCTGATTATTTTCCGCGGACTGCTGTGGTCGGTGAGGAGAATGGGGTGCTGCTCAGGGAGATGTGTTCTGATCTTCCTGTGCACTGTTCAACTGGTAAGACATGCGTTTCGAAAACAGAAGCGTTTCTTAGTCTACGAGTAAGTTAATGTCTCTCCAAACAGACTAATTAGAGGTGGCAGTCTGTTCCTGCAAGTTTTGCTCAGGCTTTGCGTAGCGGGCTTGTTTGGGGGGCTTTTAGGGCTGGTAGAGGCGTGGCGGTGGTGGTGGTTATCAGAACAACGGGCTTCTTTGAAGACGTCGCAGCGGTTCATTGTTTGAAATGACCGGCGATTGTGATTAGAATAGTAGCTAAGAATTCAGCGTCGCAGTAACTGCAAACAACAAAACAACAGCAAGTACAACTATTAGTAATTAAATTGGAAAAACTTTTGTGTGTCTTGTTGTGAAGTAAATTAGCTTGCAAACCTGTTTTCAACCACTTTGATTGACTGAATAGAGGTGTTGCCTCAAGAAGTCCAGTTTTCAGCAAAGATACACTCTGAAGAAAAGATAGTTCTTCCAGGGTTCTTTAGTAAGGAAAGGTTTCTGTTTACCATGGGTTCTATATGGAAACATTTCATGCTTAAATAGTTTTTGCGTGGTGAAATGGTTCTTCAGATTGATGGAGAATATGTTGTATGTGGTTCTATGTAGAACCTTTCTGTACATGGTTCTGTATCGCACCAAAAAGGGTTCTTCTACTGTTATAAGTTTGACATTGTAACCATAGAAGAACCATATACAACACATTCTCCATTTATCTAAAGAACCATTTCAAAATGCAAAAACTATTTAAGCATGAAATGAAACTCGTGGTTCTAAAAGGAACCATTGCCTTTACTAAAGAACCTTTGGAGAACCATCCTTTTTAAGAGTGTACAACAAAAATTATGTGCCTGATTACGGCTTTTTCAGTTTTTATTAATATTTTAATTTTAAAATATAATTCTGTCTCCAAAAACGATTCTCCAAAAGAAGAAGCTTATTTTATAGATCTGCGATAATAAAGTGTAGCAGCCTACCAGTCAAAAGTTTGGACACGTCTAAAAGAATGTGGATTTTTTCATATTCCTATAGACATTTTGATCTAAAGGCTTAGGCCTAATTGTGAACAAAATTTGGATCTAAAACAAATTCAAACTGTGAATTTGGTGCCTATGTACAGATGTGTTTCCAAATCAAAGCCTTCCATAAGAGGGTGAATACAAACTTTTGAATGGTAGTGTAGATTAAGCCCATCTTTGCATCTGTCTTCATGTTGTCATAACTTAACCATGAGGCAACTACATGTTTCAGATAGTAATAATTATTTGGATGTTTTACGCGACTGTTACCAGTGAGTTTTAATTAGATCATTCTGTTCATGATGTGAGGAAAAACTTCTGCCATCATTAAGAAAAAATGTGTTCGGACATGTAGTTTAATGAGGAGATGAATGGATGTTCACAAGGAATTTGAGTGATTGTGTGTGGTCCAGCCCAGAGCCATTTGAGGGAAAGTGGCATTTGAATACACTACATTTTTCTCATCCACATCATACCTTTCGGTGAAATAAGTTAACAATCACTTTCTGTGTTCGATTTTGAACGTGTTAGCACTACTGCTCATAGACTGATATTCTACAAAGGGCTACAGTTAGAGTCTTATTACTGCAGAACTTTTTTCTCGCATTTATGAGATTATATGTGACTCACATGATCTATCTGTCTGTGACTCAAACCTCCCTCTGTGTATGTATTCTTTTTTCACACTGTTGTCTACCAGGTCTATGGCTTGAAGTCAATGTGAATCAGAAGTTGTAACACATTTTCTTTCATACTATAACATATTTTTGAGTGGAAAGAGGTGGAGGTGAAACATGACATGTTACTTTGATTTAACACTGGATTGAAATGTGTACATTGGTTCCACATGAATAAAATACATTAGATTAACACAAAATTCTTGCCAAAAGTATATAAAATGAACAACAGTAATTGTGTTGGTGGAATATATTCAATTTATGTGGAATTTTTTTTAACACTTTTTTCAGTGTATTTTTTTAGTCACTTCAGTCAAAGATTACAGGAAAATTTAAGACCTTTGTCTTTTAAATGGTGTGACATCATGCTTAACCCCTTAAATGGGCCCGGGCCCGCCAGCTGAGAACAGCTCAACCAGCTTGCACTGAAGTCCCTGTACTTACTAAATAATAAGCCTTAGTATGTAACAAGCCTGGGATTTTAAGGTGTTAATATGACCAGGGGCATGAACTAACAAAGTAAAGAAGGTTCTTTTTGATTTCTGGTTGACTTTAGGAGTTACTTTAGTTTGAATTATTGCATTGTTGTCTAACAGTAGTCTTGACATATTCCAGAAGTTTGTAATGCTTTCCCCCAAAATGTTGCTTCCTTGTACAAATCTAAAAACAAACATCAACAGTTTTGTTCACCGATGAGTATTGAGACCAGACTTGCTGTCCATGCAATAACATCTTTCGTTAAGCTAGTCTGTATTAGCCAATGGTGGAGTAAAAACGTAACTGTTTGTAACGTAAAAATTCAATAACAAAGGACACTAGCTATAGTCCAGTGGCATGAAGTGTCTGCACTCATGTTGGCCTGTTTGGACAAATTTGGCTGTAAATATCTTGGAGTAGTAGCAGTATAAACAGAGACTTTAGTTGGTTTTCTGTATGTGGTATGCATGAAGGACGAAGTGTGTTTTTCTCCTGCATCAGTTCTGGAATCTTTCCTCCATTAGTTCGCATCATTGTTCAGTTTGGTTAAAAGCTCAGCTTTACTGTTACTGTAAGCTTATTTATGCATAAATAATTGGCATATTACACATCCAAGGGTGTGTGTACAATATAACGCTGTAGTGAATTTTATAGCACAATCTCAGTGGGCTCCCTCTCCAGTAGGTATGATCTAGCCCTGGCATTTTGTGAACTGCTGTAGTACAATGAATTTTTAATAAACATGTTATGAGTCTGAGGCACAGCTGGGATGTTGTGGAAGCTGTACAGTGTAGGTTTGAGTGGAAAGAGGTCAGCTGTTCCTTCATGGCTTCCTTGGTTAGCTCATCGATTTAAAGGGCTAGTGTAAGCAAACTTAACAGCCATTAAGTACAAGTTTTTCATTTTTCAGTGTTAAAAGTGGGAAATAGATTCAACAGAAAAATAAACATAAACCCTTAACACTATATGTAATATCAGCATTTTCAGTATTTAGTGTGCCCACCCTTTGCCTTTATTACAGCCTCTATATTTTTTGTGAGACTTTCTTTCAGCTTTTTAAAGACATCTGCAGGGATATTTTCCCACCTTCTAAAGTTCAGTCTTAGAAGTCGGTCGCTTTCTGTTTCTCATGGTCTCAGACTTTTGCACAGTAGTGCACACAGTAATAGACTGTAGAAATAAACGTGGGACTAAATTAAACTGAATTAGCATTACAGAGAAAGGATACATTTATTTCTGTAGGATTACAAATGCAGTATAATGAAAAAAGGGGTGTTTTAGCACAGTAGGCCTACAGTAGTTCTGCTCTTCCAGAGTACAAAAAACACATCATGAAATATCCTTCTAAACTGTCAGTGAAATCTAAGCATCAGTCCAGTGCCACTTTTTTAAAATCAGCCAAAACTGATACGACGCTGGTTTCATTGTGCATCCTTGATATTCAGTACTCTGTGTCTTTATTCATCCAAGCTGGTACATGCACCTAACACTGACCAAGAGGGGTTCTAGCCTTTATGCAGTGTCCACCTGCACAAATCTAATTGACATTCTGATCATTCAGCCTGTGATGTTCCATTATAGTCGCACTGCACCATGTAGGCCTTCATGAGACGGAGGAAATTCCACATTGCGAATACATAGCTAGATATTGCTGTTGTGATATAACTTTAAATAACCTTTGCTATAACCTGGCTAATGATCAGCCTGCATTATTTTGACCAAGATTATGTATGTTTGTTAGCTCATCTGTATTGCAAAGGCCAATATCACAATTAAGAACTCATTTTGAACCATGTAACATCTACATTTAACATTGTTATCAGCTCACTGACATGATTATCTTATTCTTATTACATGTGATTATGCAAGCACATTCATGTTTATGTTCAGATGTGGATGTTCATGTACCTTTCAGCCAATTTGTTTATCTAGGAGACATTTCTGTGGTCTGTGACCTAAATGTGGTGTCAATTGTTGATCAAAGGCAGAACCTCTGAGACTTGCTGCTATAGAAAGCAGCCTCACTGTAATGGCAAGAGACAGAGGGAGGGTGTGTGTATGGGGGGATGGGTGGAGAGAGCCGAAGGCCTGGTTTTATGATTGCTGTAGAGCTATATGAAAAAGAACAGGACCCCCTCCCAGTTCTACGCCCATCACCTCTCAGATGAGTGATCAAGTGGCTGACCTCGAAGTAAAACCTTCATCTCCCCCACCCATCTATCTCCTGCTCTCTCTCTCTTTCTCCGTGACATGCATTGTACCCCCTTGGCTCTGTTACCTAGGCAACCTTGAGTGAAACGCTAGCATGTGGAAAAATAAAGGCAGGGGATTCTTTTTGCATCTCTGGAGACCCAACGAAGATGGAGTTCTTCAGGATCACTAAGATCAGGACACATATGTCAATCTCTCTTGATCTGGGAGAGAATAACTAGGAACGTCATATATTTTTTACTAGGGGTGTAGGATACATCAGCTGGTCAACAATAAATGGTGAAATTGAATTATTATGATTATCAGTTCAGTGCTGGAATTTACAGCCAATAATTTTGACCGATAACTTGGCGCCCAATCCTTAATTGAAATCGATAAAATAATGCTCCAAATGCAGAACATGGAGGTTTTGATTCCACGTGTAGGCAGGACTACCTTAGAGCAAGACTCATAACCCTACATTGTGGGTTGCCATAAGAGCATCTGCTAATAACATAAATGTAAATATTTACAACAATTGTTATGTTTGATTTGATTTGATATAAAAATGGTAATCCATCTTTGGTGTTTAAACTAGTTTTATGCTAACTGCACTTCAGATATGGGCAGTGTGAATCTTTTTAAAATGCAAAAAATCTAAAATTATTGGCAGTGTTGGGCAGAATACTTTGAAAAAGCAGTGATGCCTGTCCTAATTGTATTGAATTACGTATTCCATTTCAGAACATAAAAGTAACATATTCAGAAGGCATTTACAGTGTATTTGAGAATATATTGTATGAAGTTACAAAATTCTAAACATTATTTTGGTGCTCACCTTTAATCTACTGCTGCTCTAATAATTCCACTACCATCTCATAAACTAAACAAACAATTCATCATATCCCAATAACAAAATCTTGCAAATTTGACTATAAAGTGGATAACTATGTGATTTTCAGTTAATGAAATATATGTAGCTTGCCGCAAAACGCAAGCATGAATCCCGTACAACACCAAAGCTACTTGTGAACATCACTACTGAGATGTCTGTTCAGTTCAGTCATCCCTCAAAAGAGATTAGTAATGTTGAGATTAATAACTGGCTCATCACATTGATTTATCAGTCTACTCAGGCTTTAGCAGGAACTTCAGTGTTCGTAAGGACAATGTTTTTTGAGTCCTTTAAAGTATTAGAGTATTGTTAGATGCTGTGCAATGATTGTAAAATAGTAATAAACATTAAACAAAAAAATAATCATACACAAGCACTGATGGTGTTTTTTTATGTATTTTTGAAATTTGATGGGCAGTTATTCTAAAAGTATTCTCCTAAAAATTTAACTGCGGTGACTGTATTCTGAATGCTGCCTTCAGAAAATGTAGCTTAGACTAATTGCAGATACTTAAATTCTGTATTCTGAACACGTATTACCAATACCTGTATTCTGTTACATCCCAACACAGATTATCTGTTATTTTTAATGGAATTTATTTAGAAATATATTTCTCTCTCTCTCTCTCTCTCTTTCCCGCCCTCTAGATCACTGCTTTGGAGAGGCAGGCATTTGATTTTCTAGGTTACCAGTGGGCTCCAATCCTGATTAACTTTCTCCATATTATTGTGGTCATACTTGGACTGTTTGGGACCATCCAGTACCACCCCCGCTATGTTATACTGGTATGTAAAGTTCACCATTTTTGCTTGCATCTGAAGCATTTTGCACAAGATATTGCAAATACACTAACTCAGTGACATACAGCAAACATAGACAGTTTTTTTATTGGAAGAACAAATTATCAGTACACCAGCAGATACAATTTTGGCATGAAGAGGAGTATCGCAATTACGGTATAATCACTTGACTGCAGCTTAGCTAGTATTTCCTATGGTTGTTAGCTTTCACAATCATATATGTATGTTACAGCAGATATAATGTGAATTGACTGTATTTTTATTTGTTGGGTTTAGGCAAATGTGTGTGTTAAAGAAAATAAAATATACATTGAGACACATAAGGGGTCTTTAAAAAAATAACAAAGCTTATGATTTTGTTTCGAGGGCAGCTGTGAGTAATGTTTGTTTATTTGAGCTCAAGCTGTGTCTGTCATCAGTTCGGGGCAGAAAAGTTCACCTAGGAAACAAGATAGCTAATCTGATCACTCTAGGCTTGTAATTTATTAGTTGCATTGAATAAACAAATTTTGAGAATTAAACTGTAAACTGCAGTAATTTATATGACAGTGCCACCTAAAATGACTAGCCTTGAAGTTGCAGTTACATGTATCTTTTTCCTCCCCAGTATGTAGTCTGGACTGTCTTCTGGGTGACATGGAATATCTTCATCTGTTGCCTCTATCTTGATTTGGGGGGCCTTTCTAAGGTAAGAGCACCTGCTTTTCTCTACTCACATTAGGGGTGGGTGATATGGCAAAAAAACATATCATGACACATTAGAAGACATTTTCAAAATACATAATACATAATCACAATGTTTAGTTTTTCTGAGACTTGATAAGAACAGAAAATGCTACAGTAATAAATAGAAAAAAAATCGGAAACTGTGAATACAATGACTTTTATTAAATGTTTCACATGCTACTGCAAACAAAATTAAAGAGAATAAGTTATGCTCCATGATATTCTCAGAAAAGTGTATTGTGACAAATCACAATAACAATAAAATATTGTCATATTGCCCACCCCAACACATTAATTAACTAACATTTGTTCATGTTAACCAGTTTATTACATACACCTAACTTGTAACTACACTTATTTGTTATTTTATTAGATACGTGAACGATGTAGGTGCACTTTGTAGGTTTACTGGCTGTAGTCAATTTACACAACTTATCAGCTGTGGGAAGGGAAAGGAAAAGGACCACCACAGGACCACCACTCAGTAGATATTATTTGGGTGGTGGACCATTCTTAGCATAACCGAGATACCAACATGGTAGTAATACATTAGGTATGAGTGTGTCAGATACAGTAGGATTGGGGCGAGGTAGCTAATTCAGGTCATATTACATACATATGTAAATTCAGTGCTGTACAGAATGAAGAGCCATAAAAATAATATACCAACTTTCATTATATAACTTAATGTAAATTCAATTGTATCTATCTAAGTTATACAAAATTATGTATGTCTTAATTTGCTGTGGGTCATTTTGAAAAAACTATTTGTGCACTCACATTCTTGGTTATGACCTTTGTCCATATCAAGCTGGCAGGCTGTGCATTTCTTTCCCATCTGTCTTTCTGTTCCTGAACTATGGAATCCCCATCTCTCCTCCCAGATTCCTCACACACATGCACATTATTTGACACATGACTTATTTTGAGCTCTGTTATCCGGTGTCCAGTTCGTACTCTTGACCGGACACTAAAAACTCTGTGTGGGTAGGATGGCCTTCCCATCAAATGGATGACCCCCATCATATCACTGTGATACTAGCCAACACTCCTGTTAACTATTGTAATAGTATTAACGGTTACCGTCCTCCGAGCATGCTGAGCTGTCCAATGATGTTATGTTAGTGGCAGTTTCAACAAGAAAGGGTGGCCGCTTAACATGTCTTGGAGGAAGCATGTGTTAACCTTCCCCCTCCCAGCTTGGTAGAATTGTGTGATGGGGGAAACCTAGCTAGCGGTTGGAATTGGCAATGACTATGTTGGGAAGAAAACTGGGTAAAAAACAGCCACAAACTGCAAATGTGGACTTGGGGCTTTATGAAGGCTGAGTAAGTGGGTGTATGTATTCAAGTATGGCTGGATCTCTGCTCGATGCTTAGTGATGTGATGCAGCATTGAGTGACATATCCTAACAGCTTGTATAATTACAATCACAGTTTCTGTCAAAAAGTAGAGACTTAAGATCTACAATTTCTTCGATAGCTAATACCTTGACATGTAACATACTCATGAAATGGCACAGAAAATGCAGTGTTGTTTATTGTGTCTCCTTTAAATATGGCCTTATCAAAATCTCCAAAATAATCTTATATACCATCTATGACTAGAAAAATAACATTTTATGAAATGTAGCTTACATGTTAGTTTCATAGTAGTTACTGAGCAATTCATTGTATTTATTAACTAACAATTCTTAATATTATTAACTGAATAATTAACCTGTAAATGTTAAATTTATAGACTACATTCATAATGTAAACTATATGGACTGTGTTCACAGTGAGTGAACTACTCGCTTTGAGAAATATACAGTAGTTCACAAATTTATTTGCTACAAGAGAATTTCAGTCTATTTCCTTGTGAATAGAATAGAAACTCTTCCCATTAACTTACGTTGAAAGTAAAGAACAATTTTGCCCTCTCCTGTAAAGTTACTGTTTTGGAGACACTTGTTTTTCTTTGGACAGCGACGATATATTTTGTAACATATTCCATTACAATGCAAAAAAAATAACATATTCAGAATACTTTTAGAATACATTTAAAATTACACGTCTCTGGAGCTGAGTAACACTGAGATTAATAACGCATCATTACGGATTTGTCAGTCTACTCAGGCTTTAGCAGAGCTCAGTAACACTGAGATTAATGACTGATCACCACACTAATTTATCAGTCTACTCAGGCTTTAGCAGAGCTCAATAACACTGAGATTAATAACTGATCATCACATTGATTTATCAGTCTACTCAGGCTTTAGCAGAGCTCAGTAACACTGAGATTAATAACTGATCATCACATTGATTTATCATTCTACTCAGGCTTTAGCAGAGCTCAGTAACACTGAGATTAATAACTGATCACCACACTAATTTATCAGTCTACTGAATTGTCTCTCCTGTATTGTTTAGGAGAGTGACTACATGTCTCTGGGGCTGTCCTCACATGGGTCCTGGTGGAAGGACAACGGGCCAGGCTGTGAGAACCAGGACCTGCCAGAAGCTAAATGGCAGGGTGAAGACAGTCCTGCACTGATATCTACTCTGGGCTGTGTGCTGGAGTACCAGTACATAGAGGTTCTCCACAGCGCATTGCAACTGGTCATTTCTGTAAGTACAGTTTGCTCAGAGTCTGCAGGTTATTCCTAGTTACTGCAGCCACTGCTACCCCCAGACATACACATACAATAGATTGTTCACCATTGTACATGAATGGTTTCATTTGTGTGTTCACTCACAGCTGCTGGGATTCATGTTTGGCTGCTATGTGGTTAGCGTCTTCAATGAGGAAGAGGACACATGTAAGTGAATGAAGCTAGCAAGCCCCTTTGTCATGTCCTTTGATAGTTTCATCATAAAACTGTCATTTTCTGTACTTTGTGTTCTGTTGGTTTCCACTTCTAGACTAAACAGATAATGAGAATTTTGTCAGTATTTTGCCTTACAATGCACTGCATGTACCATAAATGGCTTTTTAAAATATGGTTTAAGCCAAAAATGTAAAACAATTTAAAAATGTAAAACAATTTATCTTCCTTTCTTCTTCCACTTTCTTGGCTTACTACACCAGAGAAAGAACTCAAATCTAGTTTAAAATGCTAGACCGGTGCCAAAAGGACATTTGGAGTGATGTCATAGAAGAACCATATTTGGTTCCTTAAATAACCTTTCAGTGGATGGTTCTTTAAAGAACCATTTTCATAAATGATATGCATGAGTGTGAACAACCTTGGTGAAGTAAAAGGAGCTCCACCTAGTGTAAAGGTTCTATAGCTACTAAAGATTTTTTTTCTGTAGAATTGAACATCTAAGCCAGGAGTTATTTAGAACTTTTATTTTTAAAGAAGAAATCAGTCCATTTTTTTAAATGTTTTGCATGATTAAATCATTGAAATGTAAAAAAATAGTCATTCAGAGTATTTTGATGTGAAATGCTACAATGTAGAGAAAATTACTCACTCAGATTTTCTTTACAATGGCAGTGATAGATACCACATTATGGAAGCACATCAGTATCAAAATTAAAATGAAAATGTAATATGTAAAATGGCAGTGTATTTGTATGTTGGCATTTAAATTTCCCACTCATATATGCGATGTTGAGCTCAAAATGAAAATTCAAATTCAATACTGTGATTTTAATTTGCCATTCGATATACCAGTTGACATACTATTGACATTTTATTTGTACACAGACTTTATGCTTTATGAGTAGCTTTAATTAAAATGTATTTCCATAACTGCATATTTATGCTCTATGCAGTATTACAGAGGCTACAATATACAAATCAGCCTCTAACCAATCACAACATTTTGTTTTTAAAACATGCTGTATTAACCTGGCCAGTCACAGTTCCTGATAAGTGTGTGGGTGTTTAATCCAACCAAATCTATTGGTTAATCCTTAGCCATGTCATGTTATTAGGTCACTAGTATATATTGTATCACACATCATCATTTTTAATGCAATGTTAGGGCTAGGCAGTATGACAATATTTATCATTATCATGATGAATTACTTGACAATATGTCACAATATGTTTTCCTGAGTATATAGTGTATATTGTACTTAGATAACACTGGCCAACTGCATATTTCATTACCAAGAAGAATAACTAGTGCAGTTTAATTGGATTTAGTGCAGCACGCATTGTGTAAAATATTGTGACATATTGTGTTTTGTGAAGATCTCTTGAAGTATCGTCTCTATGCAGCAATAGAATTACAAAACGTTTTTCTCCATATGGTGTAGCTCTAGTTATAATGGTAGTCTATATTCAATACATAAAAGCTAAACTAAAGCTCAGAAAATAAAGAACCGAATACAAATAAAAGCTAAAAATGAGCAGCTGGACTGGGACAGTGTTCTGTGACAAAAGTGTGGCCTCATGTGCTCTGTGTGTCTATATATGTTTACCCTGTTGTCTTCTTATTTCAGACCTATATAAATGAGGAGTGTCTAGCAGACAAATATCAAGCAAAGACAGGAGCACGAGGAAGAAAAGAACAAGGAAGAAAGGATGGAGCCATTTCTCTAAAAACTTCGAAGGAGCAGTAACCTATGAAAACCTGATGAATGACTCATGTTTGTGTTTTAGACCCATTTGTGCACTTAATCCTGGCCACAGTTATCTTTCTATTATAGACAGCCTTTATGGCAAGGACTATGCCATATCTGAGATAAGAGAACAACATCCACATATTTAACGTTACTTTTAACATATCAACTAAACATGTATGTGATGCAGAAAGTAGTTTTCCTAACTCATATTTTTATTGAATCTCTTGTCATAAGACAAGTATATTTTTTGGAGATATTGTGAACATTATCCTGTTATGTGTTTTTCCACACATAGATGTAAAATTCTTAGGTTTTAATGTTGACAGCAATGGACGTGAACTACTTGTGAAAATAATAACAGTTGGCAATATGTTTGTATGTGTGCACATTTTTTGTAAATGAAGGCCAACACGGGATTATATGTAGAGCCACAATTTAGCATTTTCATTTTTAAAATCTCTTGAAATATGTAAATAGAACATTTAATAAGCAGACATCAGCTGCTTATTGTAATTACTGACTTTTTAGTCAATATTAATGTACACTTGGTGTTACCTTATCATTGTCTTTCATTTGAAAAAGAAAGTGTTGGTGAAAAAGTACTTTGATTTTGATGCTAATAGTGCTTTTTATTATTATAAACAAATGTGCACACGCCTGGTACAAAGTAATAGTCCAGTCACAACGTTATTGACAGTGCAAGTTTCCTACTCACCTGAAGTTAAGGAACTGTTAGAGACACCTAGTGGCCACAGTGAGAATGCTCAGGTTGCATGTGTCTTAATGCACTGTCGCTTATCATAGCCTGATTTAGGGATGTCCACCTTTAATTTTATTATTGACACAATTTAACATGTAGAAACCTCGTTTCCAGAAAAGTTGGGACAGTATGGGAAATACTAATAAAAGCAGAGAGCAGGGATTGGTTCATTCTAATTAACATATTAAACTGAAAACAGTACAAAAATGCAATATTTGATGCCTGCATCACATTCCAAAAATGTTGGGACAGGAACATGTTTGCCGCTGTGTTACATCATCTTTTCTTTTAACAATTAACAATGGTTTAAGGCTAGCAGTTGATTTTTGGGCATTCTTCCATTATACATGTCTTCAGTTTTGCAGCCACATGGGGCCTTTGTTGTTGTATTTTACATTTTTTTAAAGAAAGATCTTGACTGCAGGAAGGCCAGTCTAGCACCCATACTCTCTGATTATGCAGTCATGCTGTTGTAACGTGCAGAATGTGGCTTGGTGAAATAAACATGGAAGTCCCTGAAAAGGACTTTGTTTAGAACGCAGCATATGTTGCCCCAAATTGTGTACATGTCTTAATGGGTTAATGGTGCCTTCAGATGTGCAAGTTACCCATGCCATGGGACTAATACACCCCCATTCCAGACCCTGACTTTTGAACTTTATGCTGGTAACAATCTGGAACACAATGTCCATTATTTCCATAAATAATCTGAAAGGTTGACTCAGAACACAGTACATATTTGCACTGTGCATCAGTCCATTTCAGATGAGCTCGAGCCCAGAGAAGTCGGTGGTGTTTCTGGATTTTATTGACATATGGCTTCTGCTGTGCGTAGTACAGTCTTTACTTGCATTTTTGCATGCAGCAAGTCCATGTGGTGAATTCTGTCATGGAAGCATACAGTAATGCAGTGATGTTTGAAGGATCAAGGGTCACATGCATTCATTTGTGGTTTTAGCCCTTGTCTTTTATGCACAGAGATTTTGTCTGGATTTCTTAACATTTTTGATGATATTATGCACTGGTGGAATACCTAAATTCTTTGCAATCACTTATTGGCAAATCACTTGTTGATTTATTGAAAAACTGTTGGATTATTGGTTGATGCATTTTTGGCAAAGTGGTGAGCATCAACCCATGCATCACCTGTTTTGGAACAATTTATAATACACCTATTCTTAAATCACCCCCGTCCCAGATTTTTTGGAATGTACTACAGACATCAATGTCAGAATGAGCATATGTTCACAAAAAACATATCGTCTTTTATTTAAGCACAGGTCAAAATGGATTTACAAATCACTGCTTTCTGTTTTTATTTGAATTTCACATACTATCCCAACTTTTTTGGAATTTCATAATTGACAAAATTCAACAAGTAACCTTTAGGACTGTAAATGTTAAAGTGTGATCATTATATCTCATTTGAACTTGCCAGTGACTGTTACTGTGTGTAGTCATGGGTCCGTGATGTGTATTAAACAGTGAAATTTGTTTTCATTTGGTACATTTTGTTAAAATTATTTTTAAACTAGTCTTATCAGAATGTGGACAAACAGGCCACCCAAACAGAACAGTATCTATATTCCACGGGCATCCACTGCTGGTACAGTCTTCATAACCACTTAGCGTTTGCTGTGTGAGATTTAATAGTGATATTGTCTTGTAATTGATAAATGATGTGGTGTTTAATACAGAAACTGCATCTCTTTTTACCCACTACTGCTCCTCTCACACACAAGCTCTATAAGCACTCTGGAGAAATTAAACCGCAGGCACTCTATGAGGAAGGTAACTCTCCCGAGGGTTCATTATCTTTTACATCCTCTTCCTGGCTTTACATCATGTGTTAAAGTGGCACACTTTGAAAAGTGCTTGACTCTGCAGGTTTCACAACGCCCAGCAGCACATAAACTCAGATTAAAACAACCTACCTTTATAACACACAAGCTGTGCTACTTTATATTCAGCAAGCTACCTTGAATAACTGTTACCACTGTTTAGTCTCCGACATACGATCGAATTCCAAAAAGACTGATTTGAGGTCCTAAATTTAAATAAACGGCGTTTTTTTTGTGGCCGTCGGGATCGTCTTTTGTCTTTTTGGAAACATACCTGCATGTGAGATTCCAAAAAGAAAAAAGATCCCTTTTTGACCTTCAGAATTATCGTTTCAGAACAAATAAATATTTTTGATTACAGTTGTTTAGTAACTGCATAAGAGGCTCCAAAAAAGACAACCCCCTCGTTGGGATCATCTTTTTGAATTCAGATCTGTTTTAGTAATTTAAAAATCTACTACTTCGAATCATCGCATAGAACTATAGCCAGAATCATTACACAGAATCATGCACTACTACAGTGCATCAGGATGATAATTTACAGTTACTGAGTGCTTAAATATGAGATTCCAAAAAAGATGACCCCATATTCATTTTTTGGATATTTTTGGATACTTTTCTGATCTTTATGGAATCTCACATGGATCCTTTCAATTCTTTTTTGAATTTAAGAATCAATAACATTGAATCAGAACATCATTGAAGTGTATAGTTTACAATTATTTCCATGGAAGATTCCAAACAAATTTAACAAAACATCCTTCATCTCATTTGAAATATGGATCCTATTTTTGCAACTTGGAATAAGTGCATCAGAAATATAGTTTACATCCTGCATGTGGCATTCCAAAAAGGCAAATCTAAAAAAAAAATGTCTTCTTAGAATATTATTTGTCATTTGGATTCCATAACACAGAATTGATGCACCAGAATTAGAGTTTATGACTCATGTTAAAAGTGCCTACTGGTTTTGCCACTCTATGTCTTTGTGCTTCTGCAAATGTTTCTACATTTCCTTGCATTTCTATATGTATAGTAAGAATGTCCTCATATCCCCTTCGCTGGTACTCATAATACTTTAAAAATGCATTTGGTTATGGTTAAGGTTAGGATTAGGTTTTAAGCTTAGAATTCTCAGAAGGACAGTCTGTGAGTGTGTGAGCTTTGTTCCTCTTTTCTGGAGCAGTTTTAATTTGCTTTAATTTAAATTGCCATTCAAGGCCTGAGATATGTGTGTCACATATGAACTTGTAATACTGAGCCATGTTACATGTTCACTCACAAATACACAAAGCCACCCTATTGCTGTCATTTTAAAAGATGTGTTCATTACTTTCACCACCCCCAAACGTGTGTGTACCTCTTGTAAAAGCATTAGCAGAGTTGGAGGACAAGTGGAGTGCTGAGTTTCAAGAAGGCCAGTTAAATACAAAAATACTGTTTTTTTTTTTTTAATAAATAAGAATGTAACAGAATACTTAAAATATCTAAAGTCTTTGCACTCACATGTTGACAAATCACTTGACTAGCTAACAAACTGTTGGATTATTTGTTGAAGCATTTTTTTGCAAAGTGATGAACTTTTGTATCAAAGCATGTTTCTATCACCTGTTTAAGATGTTTTTTGAACAATTCATAACATTCCTGTTCTTAAATTGCCCCTGTCCCATCATTTTTGGAATATAGTGCAGACATCAAGCTCAGAGTGAGCATTTGTCCACAAAAAACAATCAAGTTGCTAAAGTAAAACATGAAGCATCTAGTCTAGATCCCGCTTTTTGGGATCGAGTTTATTTCATAGCTGATAAAATTCAACAAGTAACCTTTATGACCGTAAATGTTAAAGTGTGGTCATTACATCTCATTTGAACTTGCCAGTAACTGTCATGTGTGCAGTTATGAGTCTAAACGTGTGTGTCTGAGTGAAGGACAGCTCATCAAAAAATGATTTACTGTTACTTGTGTCATTCATGTACTGGAACACGTTTCACTTCCTACAGATAAGGGAAACAGACGTCACTCAAACCATTTCAGAAACCAACTAAAAGGTTACATTCTTATTTATTTCAAATAAAAAGTAAAACAGCGAAATGAATGTAAATATTAACTGGCCTTCTCCAAACCCAACACTTCACTCGTCCTCCAGCTCTGCTAACGCTCACTTTTTTTAAATTGTCCACAAGAGGTACAAAGATAACAGTGAAGTACAGAAAAAGAGACACTGCCAAATGTACAAAAACAGAATCAATACAATTTAACGTGGACAATCAAAGCAATACAAATCTTTGCTTGTATTAACTACAAGTTTTGTTGCTTTCCTGTTTTTGTATTACTGTGTAAGGTTGACTTTTTCCTTACGATAGTGAGCGAAGTTGGGTTTGGAGAGAGTTAGTTTTGTTTTATGAATATTACTCTTCCCTGATGTAAGAAACAACTCTTTGATGATTTTCCAGTTTTTCCTGCCTCTAACTCGCCCGGTCCAGAATCAAACCTGCTAAAGCCGCTGACTCTCAATTCGTTTCCCTCCGCGTGGCCACCCGGTCTCCGTGACGTCAGTCGGCTGTGCGCAGATCCCGGATGGAGCTGGGGGGGAAGTGAACTGGGCTGCACAATAAACTGAAGGCTGCGAGGAGTAGGAAAAACCTCCAAAAGAGCACGCCGCGCAACCGAACTGGACTAAATCTACAACACTGGACCTTATAGTAAACGCAGAAAAGCGTGCGGACCAGGTTGTGGTGTACTCCGGTATCGGGATTGGCTCAGTCTCGCCGTGGAAGTTGCTGAGGATCGAGCCGTAAGAAAAAAAAAAACAGCAGCCAGCGAAAGGAACCGAGGAAGGAAACACGGGCTTTGGAAATACGCTCACTAACCCGACAGTTTTCAAGACTCTTGGCGATTATAGAGACTCTGTTGATGAATTATGTCTACCACCAGTATTGATCCTCAGGTAGGCTTTACTACTGCTCCGTTTGCCGGAGGAATATGTGCTTATATGTGCCTGGTTCCCGGCTCAGAGCGCAGCTGAGGCCTCGGCTTGAGTCGCGAGAAACGGGCACTGCGCGTCCACTCCGCTGTTGCTAAGCTAGCTAACGTTAGCCAGCGGCTATTGCGGACGGCCAGCTTCGCTCTTTAGCTCGCCTGCTGTTTGGTCACACGATCACATGAACGTGTGGCGATACTACCAGCTTAAACAAGCGACAAAAAAGACATAGTTAGCCTTGGCGACGTTTTCCATCAGTTGCTTGACGGATTAAATGTAGCATCAGCTGAGACACTCAAGACAGAACTTAATTTACAGTCAACTAACTTAGCTTGCTAGCTAGCACTCTTTTAAGCTAGCTTATATAAGCTAGCAGTGTGCCTCCGTTTGACCATTAAGACTAGTAAATTGGTAACTGGCTAATTAGCATTACAACAGTTAACCTACGTCGCTGATGTGGCGATAAATAATGTTGTCTGCTCGAGAAAGTGTCAGTTTAGCTAGTTTGTAGCTACATTTGACGTGTTTTCTTATGATGGACGCTAACCCTAAAAGACCAGGGCCGACTTGCAAAGGAAACCTGGGACGTATGTTTCATACTTGTTGAAAGACCATATATATTGTTGCCAAAGACAATAAGGTTAATGAAATGTATATTTGTTTCCTCCATCTTTCCTGTGTAATCTGCGCCAACGGAACCTGAAGACGTCAAAAGGACAAGATGCTAAAGGTAAGATAGCTAACACGGCTAACCTTACAGTGCTTCGTATTTTCATGCTCATGCTAGTCAGGTAAATTGAGCTGTCAGTCTAGCAAAGGTAAATGAAGCCAGGTAAGAGGGGATTTACAGGGGACATAAAGCTTCGCCATCGGTCCGTGGCTCGGTCTATTTGTGATATAAGTCGCCGTTCGTTGCCGTGGCCTAACGGGAATTTCCGTGCATGTTCATATTTTTTTTCTCAGTAATCGTAACCAAAGCGGTGTGAGATTTCAGGCACGGTTCGTATGGTAGCACCTGGTCAAGCTGCAATTTAGCAGATTAAGGCTGGTTTTGTATGTAAGTTGCACATCATTTTTAACCATGGAGAGTATGACTGAAGCATCCAGAGTCCGCTTTGGGATTACACAACACTGATGTGAGCTTTTGGTGTACATCTGCTTACATCTTAATATATCCAGTACTCGTGTTCACTCCATTAGCAGTTTTATTTAAGGTCTGGTCTGTCTCCCTAGTCAGACAGGTGATTCACTAAGATATGGAGTAACAGACACATGATTACAATGACAGTGTTTCGGATGATTCTTTTCCAGGTAAATAATGAGTTAACCTGTATATTTCCTCATTTATGTGAACAAGGCAGCCATATGGGTCAAATCAACCACTATTTATGCTTTATGAATTAAAATGTGTTGTTGTAAAATGAGTGTTTATCATTGAGTGCCTCAACAGCAAAAAGCACAGATTGGTAACGCAGAGGCTAGTCTAGATTTGCAGGTTTGAATCTCACTTATGCCATGTGACATGACAGTAGAAGGGTACAGTGATTGATGCACCATTGTCAGGTGTGTTGGGATGTTTAGTGCTACAGGGGTCAGCCAACTGGTGCAGCTGATGTGCATTGGGAAAAAAATACTGTCTAAATCTGGAGAAAATGTGCAATATGTAATTTGAGCTTTTGTGCTTACTGGTTTGTCACAGAGCTATGTTTTCTGTTTTAGTGCAAAATGGCTCACTTCACCAAAAGGAAACGGTCCATGACAATGACTTTGAACCATACCTCACTGGCCAATCTAATCCGGTGAGAAAATTCTTTATGTATGTTTGTCCTTGTTTTGTGTAGAAACAATGTGTTGTAAAAAGGAGGGAAGATGTTTTACCATGTATAAAATCTAGGTTGTGTTTAATTAAATAAATCTAACTTGTTTTAGACAAACCATGATTATTTCGGATTTGATTGCTTTTTCTTTCTGATGGTTTTATTGCTTTCTTGTTATTTCATTTAAACATTGACCTGCCTTATTATGCTTTAAATAGGTAAATGAAACTGTTATTAGAATATTGCCTGAGTCAGCTTTTATGACTGTTGAAATTGTGTTGAGATCTGATTCTCTCACCATCTGCTGAACATTTGTTTTTGTGGATTTGTGTTGATATTGCACTGATTTTCATTACAAAGGTCAAACCACAACATTTCTGTGTTCCAGAACAACAGCTACCAATCCATGACTGACCCCTACTTATCCAGCTACTATGCGCCATCCATTGGGTTTCCCTACCCCCTTAGTGAGGCTCCCTGGTCAACTGGCGGTGACCCTCCGATCCCCTATCTCACCCCTTATGCCCCTCTCAGCAATGGAGACCATCATTTCATGCACGACACTGTGTTTGGACAGCCAGGGCGGTTTGGGCAGTAGCATCTACCCCCACCGCTTTAATTTTTTCCCTGAGAACCCTGCTTTCTCAGCCTGGGGCACCAGTGGCTCTCAGGGTCAGCAAACTCAGAATTCTGCTTATGGGGGAAGCTACAGCTACCCGCCCAGCTCCCTAGGTGGTACCCTGGTGCCGGATGGGCAGACAGGCTTCCACAGTGACACCCTGAGCAAGGCACCAGGCATGAACAGTCTGGAGCAGGGCATGGTTGGGCTAAAGATTGGCGGTGACGTCACAGGTGGTGGCTCAGGTGTCAAGACCGTGGGTTCAGTGATTGGCGGCGGGGCAGTGGCAGCAGCTGTAGCCACAGGTAATGGTGGAACCCCTATAGGCATGCCCCCCAAACCAACATCCTGGGCAGCCATTGCGAGTAAGCCGGCGAAACCGCAGCAGCTAAAGGTCAAAACCAAATCCGGGATGCCTATGGCTGGGGGTGCGTTACCTCCACCACCCATCAAACACAACATGGACATTGGCACCTGGGACAACAAGGGGCCTGTGACCAAAGTGGCCTCACCATTGCCTCCCCAGCACCAGCAGCAGCATCCGCCTCTCTCTCATGGCCACCTGCCCCCTCACCCCCATGGGCTCCCGCCCCCTCCGCAGCCGCCCATGCCCTCCGCCCAATCCCTCACTCAGCAGATGGCCACTCCGGCCCCACCTCCTCCTCAGCCTTACCAGAATCACAACCCGCCCCCTCAGACCCGGTGGGTCGCTCCACGTAACCGCAACCCGGGCTATGGTGGAGGCGGCAGTGTGGACAGCAGTGGCTCCTCCAGTGGTGGGGGTGTGGGCAATGGGGGTGGAGGTGGACCCCCAGGCTCTGGTGCAGGTGAGTCGCACCCGGTCCTGGAGAAGCTGCGTGCAGCGCACAGCTACAACCCCAAGGACTTCGACTGGAACTTAAAGAACGGTCGTGTGTTCATCATTAAAAGCTACTCTGAGGACGACATCCACCGATCCATCAAGTACTCAATCTGGTGCAGCACGGAGCATGGCAACAAGCGGTTGGATGCGGCCTTCCGCGCCATCAATGGCAAGGGCCCCGTCTACCTGCTGTTCAGCGTCAACGGCAGTGGGCACTTCTGCGGCGTGGCCGAGATGCGCTCGCCCGTGGACTACGGTACCAGTGCTGGCGTCTGGGCACAGGACAAGTGGAAAGGCAAATTTGATGTGGACTGGCTGTTTGTTAAGGACGTGCCCAACAGTCAGCTCAGGCACATCCGGCTGGAGAACAACGACAATAAGCCGGTTACCAACTCACGTGACACGCAGGAGGTGCCTCTGGAGAAGGCCAAGCAGGTGCTGAAGATCATCGCCACCTACAAACATACCACCTCCATCTTCGATGATTTCTCGCACTACGAGAAAAGGCAGGAGGAAGAAGAGGTGGTGAGAAAGGTAATGCTCACGTCACAATAACACTTGTTTTCTTCTCCTTTCGGCTATAAAGGTGTAATGATGTACACAGCTCACGATTAGATTATATTCACGACACACACAATATTCTCACAGGATTGTAAAGAAAATTTTAATGCCCGAACTGAACTGATGACCGTGTCCTTGCTGTTGCATAGCCCACAAATGACAATAGAAATTGGGGTTGGGAGGCCTGGAGCGGGGAGGGTGGCAAATGACAATGTGTTTTTGTAATTGACACCAAAGCTCACACACAGTTCAATTCCATTAGATGGCATTATTAATAGAATCTAGTTGGTATCACCCACCTTCATGATGCATATTGTCACAATATATTGTTTTAAGATTGATAAAGATTAAATGACCCTTATTAGTCCCACAACAGGGAAGTTTCACCTCCGCAATCTAACCCATCCGTGCAGTGAAACACCACATACACACTAGTGAAGACACACTAGGGGGCAGTGAGCACACTTGACTGGAGCGGTGGGCAGCCCTATCCGCAGCACCCAGGGAGCAGTTGAGGGGTTAGGTGCCTTGCTCAGGGGCACCTCAGTCACGTACTGTCGGCTCAAGGGAACGAACCGGTGACCTTCCGGTCGCAAGGCTGGTTCTCTAACCGCCAGCCCACAACTGCCCAGTTACACCCCTAGCCAGTTCTTTTTGTACATATGCTTGTTTAGGTATGTCAAATCAAATTGGAAAAAAATGCCACATGAGCTGCATTAAAAACACAGTAGCCACAATTCTTTGCTCATTCAGACTTGAGCAGCACAAATAAACAACAGTCATAAAGGTTGAAGAGGCAGACATTTTGATGAGAATTTTCTTCTGACATTCTGAGGCCATGAACCAGGAGTCATCAGTTCTGGAGCAGGGACATTTTCTAGCACAATTTGGTGACAGGCATGCACAATCATGTGGCGTGTGTGTGATTCAACTTATCAGTTTATTACCAGGGGCCTGTCTCATTAAGCATGTTCAACATGGACTGTGTTACAACCAAACACTTGAAACAGAGAAAGAGTCTAGTGGCTTATTTTTTAAAGGAAATGAAATAGTTCTACATAAATTTGGAGAAATGTGCTTTTTTATTCTTTGTATGTATGTAGTATGATTTGTTTCCTCTACCAAAAAGAGAGATTTTTCACGTATGATGTCATGAAATTAAAAATAGTGACAAGAAAAAGACCAGGGGGATCCACCTCCATGAGAAGGCTGTCCCTGATTAATGATACTAGACCCTCATTGGCCGAATCCTGGTAAAAAGTGATCTACCATTGTGAGACATAAAAAACAGGCTTAAATTGAACTAGGCATGAAGTTAGCTGGCTAAATGAGGAATCCTGCTTCATGAGACAGGCCACAGGATTTGTTAGAGGGAAATCACCAAATTGCTCTACCAAACCAGAATTGGCATCTCCATCATAGACTGTCCATTTAACCAGTACCAAACAGCTACTGCACTGCAAAACTGACCACTTGTTGAGCTGATTGGATACCTGCTGGTGTGATGTGATCATTGTTCAATGAACAGTGCTCCCAGTCTAAACCAAGCTTTGTGAGTAAATAACAAAGTGGTGCAGTGGATCATTTTGGCAGTGACTGAAGGGATTTCCACCAGTCCAAAATGTTTAAGCACCCCTCAGATAACGACTGGTAGAGGCCTGTGAATATGAGCTCTTTGTCCAGTTTGTATTTCATTTTGGGGAGAGCATAAATCAAGGCGCTTCAGTTACATCGCTGAAGTGTTTTCATATCTGGAGTAGGGCACCATGTACCTGGGCCCTGTGACATTGCAGCTTGTTTGCAAGAGATGCCTTTCCCCCCCTTGGGCTATGACTGATGGGCTTACGCTGTCCTTACATTCTTGGTTTTGGGTTGGTGATTGGGCAGAAGTGAAAGTGAAAAGTGCCTCATTTTCAGATGTGGTGTCATGTCACTGGAATTACTGTGTTCTACAGTTAGCTTTGTGTAGAGCCTTCTAGAACAGGTTATTACGAATTCACGGTTCCCAGCACATTGAAAAGGGAGCATATTTCTTTGTGATTTTCTTTGTTCAAGAAAAATGTGTTGCTTTTTAAGAATTTTGCTTGAATGTCATTGAAAGGTAATCTTGAAAACAGTAAAGCAGAGCATGTAATTGTCGCCATTGCTTCTGCTGGTTCCCTTATGCACTGTTATCAGGTTCATCAGAGTAGACAAATAGGCTACAGTGTATATTTTTTGTTTTTGTTGGTTTGCACAAATTCTCGCTAAAATTGTTGACAATTTTAATGCCACTTACTGTCTGTTACAGTACAATGTGGTATTTACAAAAGACAATCTTCTTGGGTGGGCTACAGTGTGTTGTGAGGAATACTAATCACTCTTCTCTTCTTGTCTACCATGGCAGAACTATGAACCTGCTCCAATCCAGAATCGATCCCGACTGGATCAGGTAAAAGGTTGGGGGTGGGGAGCGTGTTGGGTTTAGTGGGAGTCTCTGTGTGTGGAATACAGATGTCATGTATTGGCAGTGCAGTGCAGTGCAAAGGCGCTGCTCTAATGAAACTAAAAGCTTGCATCACTTTGATCACCCTTCATCTTTTCTTCTTCTTCCAGGAACGCCAAAATCGAAGTAAACAATAGAAGACTGCACCCCCATAGCTTGATCAACGGTTGTTTTAGGACTGACCATTTGAAAATGAAATTTAAAAAGAGGACGCAAGAAGAAATTTAAAAAGAAAAATGAACAGCCATTTTTGTTTTCTCTATTTAATTCTGGTGACTTGGGCCAGCGTCGAACTCAAACCTCTGCTCTCCTGGTTCTGGCTCCGTGAGGGGTGAAGTTGATTAACGGCACCGTGGTCTTCTTTGTCTCTTCTTTTCTATCATTTGGTTGGGTTTTACACACCTCCCTCCTTTCTTTCATCCCCAACTTTGACCAACAATTGTCTGCACATTTTCCCCTTTTTTGTTTGGTCCCACCCCTTCCTCCCTGCTTCCTCTCAACGCTGGCAGTGAGAGTCGTCAAGGTGACTTGAGTGAGTGTTAAAAGCCTATGATTACGTTTGTGAGTGTTTGAGAGGATGTGATGACGTTGTAATTGGTAAGGTGGAAGAAGAACCATCAAGAACCACCGGGGTTGCTCCCCAGCATCAGTAACTGTACTTGGCCAGTTTAAATTCGTACAATCGAGGTGACGTTCTGTACATCTTTATTGTTGTTGGTGTGGGGGTTTCAAAAGGGGTTGAATGAGGAAGGTCCTGGGGAGTATATGTGCAACTGCGTATAAGGGACAATGAAATGTGTCTTGATAAAAGATGATAATGTTGATGTAAAAGAAAACTATATTTTTTGAATTATGTAACACTCAGCTTATAACTTTTTTGTGTGTGTGGCTAGTCACATTGGTCACAATACTTTTGATTTTCCTTTTTTTTTTTCTTTTGTTTTCCTGCTTGGAGCCTTAACATTTTAAAGCTATAGCGTCATCAAAACCGTTAAGTAATTGCTGTACTATACCTCAACAGCATAATCAGGGAAAAAGACGTCCCATGCACCCTCTACCCAAGGGAAGTCAACATCACTGGCTGGACTGAAGACGAAAAAAAAATTACAGTTTGAGTTATGGTTCTGAGCCAAGTGCTATGATTCTGTTATACTCTGCTTATTGTTTTAAAAGCAGCATTGTAACTTTGTACTGTTCCACTGATGCCCAGCAGAGGTCGCTGTTTCTTTGTTTAAGCCAATTTGAGAGAAATGTAGCATTCACTGCTTTTTTGAAATCAGTCAAGGTGCATCACTTCCCGTATTTTTATTTTTTTTTGTCCTTTCTTCACAGAATTCAGTTTATTGATCTTTTCTTCCCCTTGTCCTCAGTATAATGCTAAGCTTTAACGTAGGAGCATATAATAACGGAGAACGCCTCAAATGTGTAACCTGAAAAATTAATGTTACTGATTTACTGTTAAAAGTAAGAAAAAAACAAAACAAAAAAGAGTATATGGTTTCTGTGCGTGATTTTTTTTTTTTCCTTTCTTTTTTATTTTTAGGACCTGCTTGCTGTTGTGTGAGTGTGAGTGTGTGTGCGTGCGTGTGCGCGCTTGTGTGTTTGTGTGTGAAAGAGAGGGAGTGTATCTTGTGAGGAATTCAGATTTATATAATCATATAACAAATGATTCATGAGAATATATGACATACTAAAAAATTACAAGACAAGCGTTTGTCACCCCTGAAAATGAATATGCATTGTATGGAAGGTCACTATCTATCACGTTCTTAGATTTGATCATGGTCATTATTAAAATAATACTATATGTTGTAACTGGTGTTCAAGGGCTTTGTTTTTACCAAGTTGTCTTTTGCAGGACTTTTTAAGGCATGCATAATTTCTTTACATTTTCTTCTGTGCCATCAAACGGTGTGTATTTAAAGTAGTGTGTAAAAAACAAGTTCATATTCACCCTCCTGTGATAAAGTTACAAATTAATGTAAGATCAGCTTTACATCAATACCATGTTGGATCAAGGCAGTTATGTAGTCAGGCTGGGTTTTAGCTGGCATGCTTGCATTACGCTAGCCAGTATGGGACATTGTACATTCCTACAGTTCTTCTGATGATATTTAGGTATATTAGCATATGCCTAAAGAAGGAGGTCATGTTAACATCCCTAAAAACCTACCAAGAAGTCTGAGTGGCCAGTTACCATTACACAAATAAGGTCATGCTTTAGTTTTGCTCATGTGGCTGAAAGACTGCCTAAATTGATAAATTTAACCTGTGTTGTTGAGTCACAAACTAGAATGTAAAATCTGCATTACAAAAACACAATTTTGCATCACAGAAAGTATTTAGTTAGACTAGGTTTAAGTAGCATAAATATATTTCATTATAAGCTAGCCAATATGAAAAACAGAACATTCCTCCAGTTTTCCAGTGACATTTATATACCTCATGGGAAGATGAGAGGTATAGGTGTAGGTAGAGGTGTGTATATACAGGTATAGGCTATACCTAAAGAAATAGGCCTACTTTATCCCCAAACACCTTATGTTGCTGAGAGTAAATGAAATCTATGAGAGGCCAGTTACCATTATACAATGGGCCCATTTCACTGTTAAATATGTTGGCTGTTCAGGTGAACTTTCCTTTAATGTGGATAATAGACTCCCTTATCCAGCTGCTTGCGAGGCTGAAATCATACTGTTGCCAGTATACCCAGGATTTTTTTTTTTTTTTTTTACTTAGCAATGAAATGATTATACTATATTGTACATGAGTCGTCCTGTGCTGTATTACAGAAGCTACCTGGCAGATTACCCTTTATACCTGTAATAGCTGTTCCCCTTTTTTACATGCTGAAAATTATTGTTTTTGAGCACATATCCCACAGTTCTCTTTTTGCGTCATCTCTTCAGGTAGGCTACAGTGGATTCGTCTGTGAGTTTTAAGCTGATGCACACCTGGGCTGATTAGGGGGACGGACAAAAACAAACAAAACTAGTTAGTCAAAAGTAACAATCACCAACACTGAACATCCAGGCTTCCGCTTTTTCTGCCCGCCCTGCAAGACTTAAACTCCACTGAGAATCCCTTGCCCTATTTAATAAGCAAAAAAAAATAATCATCCCTTCTGAGTTTTGAAGTGTTTCCTTTATTGATGTGCTCTGTCCAGCCTCTACCATGTTGTGAAGGGCAGGTGCTCTACAATAAGCCAAGAGTCTGAAGAAGACAAAGGAAAGTAAAAGTGATCACTGAAATTCTAGTAGTCATGGTCATTTAGAAAACATTTTATTAACAGGCATGAAGAAATCAAAAATGAGATGAGCAGTAAGCAATCTTGCTGGCATTCAGCTCTGCAGAGATTAAATATAGATAGTACTTTAATTTAAAGCTCTTAAAACTGTCCAAGCTGAGAATTGCACAGAAGCAAATTGAGACTCCAAGCTGAACACTCTCCCTCTGTTATACTGAGTAATGGAGTTTACTACTCGTATCATATTACTAGTATTACTAGCGTTAGTAGTAGCAGTAATACTAATGTATTGCTACTAGTACTATTACTGTAATTGGTCATTTTGAAGAGTATTAGGATATTGCTAGCCACAACAATTGCATAAGAAACAGATCAATGGACCAACATCAGCACTCACTGAGTGAAGGTAAAAAAGAACACACAATACATTCAGACTTACTGTAAACCTGATCTCTGTGCCTTTACCACAGAGCTTTAAGTTCAGAGCTCATTAACCATCTGATGCTCATCTCTACCGCAGTGTGAGCAGATGTATGAAAGGCAATGCTTTTTCCAAAGGGAGGAGGGCATCTCTCTCTCTCTCTCTCTCTCTCTCTCTCTCTCTTTCTCTCTCTCGTCAGCTACTGAATTACTATTCCCATCATGCCTCGCCCCAAAACGGTGTCCGTGTACGACTCTCGGTTCCGCAGAGCTGGAGGACCCTCTCTTGGCATTCACCGCGTGCCTTAATTGTATGGACATTAAATCAAGGTCCGCCGTGAACACGCAGAGAGGCAGAGTCCCGGGGGCGCGCGCGTGCGTGATTGCGCGCGGCTGCGACGAGAAGAGCCCTGAAAGGCTACTGTCTGACATAAATAAAAACAAAAAAGGGGAAAAAATCTGTCGGAAATCTCGTCGAACCGTTTGAAAGCATCGAAACGCGGGAGGCTCAGTGGGAGAGCGGAGCTGAGCAGAGCAGGCCAGCTGCGCATGCGCAGTGGGCTTTGCGTTAGCCTGCACACAAACCCCGCAGCTCCAGTGCAAGCAAACCGCGGCTATTGTCCCTCTTTTTCTTATTGCATCACCGCCGCAGATCACTACAGCACTGGCCTCCAGTCCTCAGCACAGAAAAAGACACCGGTCTGCTCTAAAAACCCGCACCGTCTAAACACGGCTGTTCATTCTCTCTCCTACAAACAAATGATCAGGCTTTTCGCGATCCGCCGGACGTCGAAAAGCGAGTCAGCCGCGTCCCTAAAGGAGCCCAAAAACGCGATCTGCAGTTCTCAGCGGTTTGCCGCAGCAGCAGTGCATCCCTCTGTAAACAAGCCGGATGATCGCCGCTCTCCTCTCAGCAGCATCCTCAGCCGGGCTGCTGTTCTTCAGCAGAAAAAAAGAAAAAAGCCCTCAGCGCCCCTCCCCACTGCAGCCTAACCCCCCCTCCTCACCACCACCACCACCACCTTCACCACCACCATCACCATCCAAAACGTCTGATCGCAGCGAAAAGGAAAAGGCGCGGACGCTCCTCGCGCAGCCCGTCAACAAAATGAGCTCGCGCAGCCGCAGTGGGGCTCGACCGCCCCCCCATAGAAACAAATAACAACAAAAACAAAAAAGTATCCTCGCGCATCCCGTCCTGCGGTGATAGTGTCGCGCGCTGGCCTTTGCCGCCGCCGTCGCTGCTTCTGCTTCTTCTGCTGATCTGCAGCGCAGCCTCGACGCGAGAGGATTACATCGGGACACGGTGACGTCATGACCCCCCCTCACCACCACCACCTCCCACCCCCATGCACACGCACCAACATACACACTCTATAGCCGCTAAGCAAATCCTCAGCAGCAGGATGCCCTTGAAAATCCGCGACGCTGACATTGTGGCAGAGCAGAGAAATCTCTCCACAATCCTCCATCGGAGCTTCAGCCGGCGCAGCTGAGGAGCGCACAAAGGAGCTGAGACAGCGCTCAGTCTGAGCCGGTCATCCGGGGAAAAGCGCAGCAAAATGGATTCGCAAGACGTGTTTACTTTCAAGCATTCTGTCTCACTGCACGTGTGAAACAGCTAGAACGGCTAAAAAAGCTGCAGAGGCTGCACTGTGCATCTAAAATGGCGCATGCAGGCACCTGCTGATTCCTACACCCCCCACCACCACCTCCCCCACCCTCACTGCGCCCATCCTATATATGCCATATCCATGAGGTTAAGAGAAGCCTGACTGTCTGTAGTGCTCCACAT